GGGTGGGGAAGGCCACGGGAGTGGGGTGGGGAAGGCCACGGGAGTGGGGTGGGGAAGGCCACGGGAGTGGGGTGGGGAAGGCCACGGGAGTGGGGTGGGGAAGGCCACGGGAGTGGGGTGGGGAAGGCCACGGGAGTGGGGTGGGGAAGGCCACGGGAGTGGGGTGGGGAAGGCCACGGGAGTGGGGTGGGGAAGGCCACGGGAGTGGGGTGGGGAAGGCCACGGGAGTGGGGTGGGGAAGGCCACGGGAGTGGGGTGGGGAAGGCCACGGGAGTGGGGTGGGGAAGGCCACGGGAGTGGGGTGGGGAAGGCCACGGGAGTGGGGTGGGGAAGGCCACGGGAGTGGGGTGGGGAAGGCCACGGGAGTGGGGTGGGGAAGGCCACGGGAGTGGGGTGGGGAAGGCCACGGGAGTGGGGTGGGGAAGGCCACGGGAGTGGGGTGGGGAAGGCCACGGGAGTGGGGTGGGGAAGGCCACGGGAGTGGGGTGGGGAAGGCCACGGGAGTGGGGTGGGGAAGGCCACGGGAGTGGGGTGGGGAAGGCCACGGGAGTGGGGTGGGGAAGGCCACGGGAGTGGGGTGGGGAAGGCCACGGGAGTGGGGTGGGGAAGGCCACGGGAGTGGGGTGGGGAAGGCCACGGGAGTGGGGTGGGGAAGGCCACGGGAGTGGGGTGGGGAAGGCCACGGGAGTGGGGTGGGGAAGGCCACGGGAGTGGGGTGGGGAAGGCCACGGGAGTGGGGTGGGGAAGGCCACGGGAGTGGGGTGGGGAAGGCCACGGGAGTGGGGTGGGGAAGGCCACGGGAGTGGGGTGGGGAAGGCCACGGGAGTGGGGTGGGGAAGGCCACGGGAGTGGGGTGGGGAAGGCCACGGGAGTGGGGTGGGGAAGGCCACGGGAGTGGGGTGGGGAAGGCCACGGGAGTGGGGTGGGGAAGGCCACGGGAGTGGGGTGGGGAAGGCCACGGGAGTGGGGTGGGGAAGGCCACGGGAGTGGGGTGGGGAAGGCCACGGGAGTGGGGTGGGGAAGGCCACGGGAGTGGGGTGGGGAAGGCCACGGGAGTGGGGTGGGGAAGGCCACGGGAGTGGGGTGGGGAAGGCCACGGGAGTGGGGTGGGGAAGGCCACGGGAGTGGGGTGGGGAAGGCCACGGGAGTGGGGTGGGGAAGGCCACGGGAGTGGGGTGGGGAAGGCCACGGGAGTGGGGTGGGGAAGGCCACGGGAGTGGGGTGGGGAAGGCCACGGGAGTGGGGTGGGGAAGGCCACGGGAGTGGGGTGGGGAAGGCCACGGGAGTGGGGTGGGGAAGGCCACGGGAGTGGGGTGGGGAAGGCCACGGGAGTGGGGTGGGGAAGGCCACGGGAGTGGGGTGGGGAAGGCCACGGGAGTGGGGTGGGGAAGGCCACGGGAGTGGGGTGGGGAAGGCCACGGGAGTGGGGTGGGGAAGGCCACGGGAGTGGGGTGGGGAAGGCCACGGGAGTGGGGTGGGGAAGGCCACGGGAGTGGGGTGGGGAAGGCCACGGGAGTGGGGTGGGGAAGGCCACGGGAGTGGGGTGGGGAAGGCCACGGGAGTGGGGTGGGGAAGGCCACGGGAGTGGGGTGGGGAAGGCCACGGGAGTGGGGTGGGGAAGGCCACGGGAGTGGGGTGGGGAAGGCCACGGGAGTGGGGTGGGGAAGGCCACGGGAGTGGGGTGGGGAAGGCCACGGGAGTGGGGTGGGGAAGGCCACGGGAGTGGGGTGGGGAAGGCCACGGGAGTGGGGTGGGGAAGGCCACGGGAGTGGGGTGGGGAAGGCCACGGGAGTGGGGTGGGGAAGGCCACGGGAGTGGGGTGGGGAAGGCCACGGGAGTGGGGTGGGGAAGGCCACGGGAGTGGGGTGGGGAAGGCCACGGGAGTGGGGTGGGGAAGGCCACGGGAGTGGGGTGGGGAAGGCCACGGGAGTGGGGTGGGGAAGGCCACGGGAGTGGGGTGGGGAAGGCCACGGGAGTGGGGTGGGGAAGGCCACGGGAGTGGGGTGGGGAAGGCCACGGGAGTGGGGTGGGGAAGGCCACGGGAGTGGGGTGGGGAAGGCCACGGGAGTGGGGTGGGGAAGGCCACGGGAGTGGGGTGGGGAAGGCCACGGGAGTGGGGTGGGGAAGGCCACGGGAGTGGGGTGGGGAAGGCCACGGGAGTGGGGTGGGGAAGGCCACGGGAGTGGGGTGGGGAAGGCCACGGGAGTGGGGTGGGGAAGGCCACGGGAGTGGGGTGGGGAAGGCCACGGGAGTGGGGTGGGGAAGGCCACGGGAGTGGGGTGGGGAAGGCCACGGGAGTGGGGTGGGGAAGGCCACGGGAGTGGGGTGGGGAAGGCCACGGGAGTGGGGTGGGGAAGGCCACGGGAGTGGGGTGGGGAAGGCCACGGGAGTGGGGTGGGGAAGGCCACGGGAGTGGGGTGGGGAAGGCCACGGGAGTGGGGTGGGGAAGGCCACGGGAGTGGGGTGGGGAAGGCCACGGGAGTGGGGTGGGGAAGGCCACGGGAGTGGGGTGGGGAAGGCCACGGGAGTGGGGTGGGGAAGGCCACGGGAGTGGGGTGGGGAAGGCCACGGGAGTGGGGTGGGGAAGGCCACGGGAGTGGGGTGGGGAAGGCCACGGGAGTGGGGTGGGGAAGGCCACGGGAGTGGGGTGGGGAAGGCCACGGGAGTGGGGTGGGGAAGGCCACGGGAGTGGGGTGGGGAAGGCCACGGGAGTGGGGTGGGGAAGGCCACGGGAGTGGGGTGGGGAAGGCCACGGGAGTGGGGTGGGGAAGGCCACGGGAGTGGGGTGGGGAAGGCCACGGGAGTGGGGTGGGGAAGGCCACGGGAGTGGGGTGGGGAAGGCCACGGGAGTGGGGTGGGGAAGGCCACGGGAGTGGGGTGGGGAAGGCCACGGGAGTGGGGTGGGGAAGGCCACGGGAGTGGGGTGGGGAAGGCCACGGGAGTGGGGTGGGGAAGGCCACGGGAGTGGGGTGGGGAAGGCCACGGGAGTGGGGTGGGGAAGGCCACGGGAGTGGGGTGGGGAAGGCCACGGGAGTGGGGTGGGGAAGGCCACGGGAGTGGGGTGGGGAAGGCCACGGGAGTGGGGTGGGGAAGGCCACGGGAGTGGGGTGGGGAAGGCCACGGGAGTGGGGTGGGGAAGGCCACGGGAGTGGGGTGGGGAAGGCCACGGGAGTGGGGTGGGGAAGGCCACGGGAGTGGGGTGGGGAAGGCCACGGGAGTGGGGTGGGGAAGGCCACGGGAGTGGGGTGGGGAAGGCCACGGGAGTGGGGTGGGGAAGGCCACGGGAGTGGGGTGGGGAAGGCCACGGGAGTGGGGTGGGGAAGGCCACGGGAGTGGGGTGGGGAAGGCCACGGGAGTGGGGTGGGGAAGGCCACGGGAGTGGGGTGGGGAAGGCCACGGGAGTGGGGTGGGGAAGGCCACGGGAGTGGGGTGGGGAAGGCCACGGGAGTGGGGTGGGGAAGGCCACGGGAGTGGGGTGGGGAAGGCCACGGGAGTGGGGTGGGGAAGGCCACGGGAGTGGGGTGGGGAAGGCCACGGGAGTGGGGTGGGGAAGGCCACGGGAGTGGGGTGGGGAAGGCCACGGGAGTGGGGTGGGGAAGGCCACGGGAGTGGGGTGGGGAAGGCCACGGGAGTGGGGTGGGGAAGGCCACGGGAGTGGGGTGGGGAAGGCCACGGGAGTGGGGTGGGGAAGGCCACGGGAGTGGGGTGGGGAAGGCCACGGGAGTGGGGTGGGGAAGGCCACGGGAGTGGGGTGGGGAAGGCCACGGGAGTGGGGTGGGGAAGGCCACGGGAGTGGGGTGGGGAAGGCCACGGGAGTGGGGTGGGGAAGGCCACGGGAGTGGGGTGGGGAAGGCCACGGGAGTGGGGTGGGGAAGGCCACGGGAGTGGGGTGGGGAAGGACACGGGAGTGGGGTGAGGAAGGACACGGGAGTGGGGTGGGGAGCAAGAAGTGAAGGAGTCCAGTAAGGAGGGAGAAGTGAAAGAATGGGGGTGATGAGAGAGGTGAAGTCGGTAAGACAGGAGTAAAGGAGTTAGCAGGGCAGAGAGAAGTAGCACATGGGGGGGCGGTAAATGAGTCGGCAGGGCAGAGAGAAGTAGCACACAGAGGAAGTAAAGGAGTCGGCAGGGCAGAGAGAAGTATCACTTGGAGGCGGTAAAGGAGTCGGCAGGGCAGAGAGAAGTAGCATTCGGAGATCGCAAAGGTGTGGGCAGGGCAGAGAGAAGTAGCACACGGACGAAGTAAAGGAGTCGGCAGGGAGAAGTAGCACTCGGGGTCGGTAAAGGAGTCGGCAGGGCAGAGAAAAGTAGCACTCTGAGGTGGTAAAGGAGTCAGCAGGGCAGAGAAAAGTAGCATTTGGAGATAGCAAAGGAGTGGGCAGGGCAGAGAGAAGTATCACTTGGAGTAGTAAAGGAGTCGGCAGGGCAAACAGAAGTAGACGCGGAGTGGGTAAACGAGTAGGCAGGGCAGAGGGAAGTAGCCCTCGGAGGAAGTAAAGAGTCGGCAGGGCAGAGAGAAGTAGCCCTCGGAGGAAGTAAAGGAGTGGGCAGGGCACTCGGAGCCGGAGGTAATAAAGGAGTCGGCAGGCAGAGAGACGTAACCTTAGGAGGAAGTAAAGGAGTCGGCAGGGCAGAGAGAAGTAGCACTCAGAGGAATTAAAGGAGTCGGCAGGGAAGAGAGAAGTAGCACTCGAGTTAGTAAAGGAGTTGGCAGGCAGAGAGAAGTAGCACTCAGAGGAATTAAAGGAGTCGGCAGGGCAGAGAGAAGTAGCACTCGGAGGAAGTCGCAGTCCAGGGGACACTGAGTAGAGAGGAGGACTGATCATGTCATCAGTGTTCCCGCCCCACTCTCAGCAACAACAAGCACAGCCTCGCCGCTCGTACCGCTGTGTGTGCACTCGTGTGCTCATGGAGCCGTCCGGCAGCCTGTCCTGACACCCCCCATACCGGGCGCAATGGCCGCCGCTACGAGCAGTAAAAGCAGCAGCAATGGCATCATGATGATGGCATGCCCCATGCAGTCTCCTGCTGCCCACAGCTTGGACCATGCCAGGAGTCCGCAGCTCATGGACCCCCGCAGGAGACAGGCTGCCCTCTCGTTTCTCACCAATATCTCCCTGGACGGGCGACCCCTGCAGGATCGCTGCGGCGCTCAGGACGGGAATGCAGGTGCTGCGGGCTGGACGGTGCGGGCTCTGCAGTGTGAGGACACGGAGCGCAGTCCGGGAGCCGGTACACCGGGCACTCCGGGGAGACAGCTGCACGGCAAAGCGATCCGGGCCTCTCCGCAGCTCGTGTCATCCCGATGCAGAGCCGCGGTGCTGCGGGAGGATGAGGAGCACGAGCTGCATGTGCTGGGGAAGCAGCTGGATGAAGCGGAGGATGAGAATAGGACTCCTGCCATTCCGATCACCCCTCTCAGCGCTGGCACTAGGGGACGTCTGAACTCCTTCACCTATGGCATCCTGCCAGCTTCTTTCACCCGGACATGTGCGGAGCCCATACAGGGGGCCATCTGCAGCGCCATTGACAACCAGAGGTCCAGGTAAGAGGGATCCCATACAGTCCTGGAGGGGTGATCAATATGATTGTATTATTAATAGTTATTTATTAACGGATCCCATACAGTCCTGGAGGGATGATCAATATGATTGTATTATTACAAGTTAATAATTAGCAGGGATCCCATATAGTCCTGGAGGGGTGATCAATATGATTGTATTATTAATAGTTATTAACAGGGATCCCATACAGCCCTGGAGGGGTGATCAATATGATTGTATTATTAATAGTTATTTATTAACGGATCCCATACAGTCCTGGAGGGGTTATCGATGTGATTGTATTATTACAAGTTAATAATTAGCAGGGATCCCATACAGTCCTGGAGGGGTGATCAATATGATTGTATTATTACAAGTTAATAATTAGCAGGGATCCCATACAGTCCTGGAGGGGTGATCAATATGATTGTATTTTCAGTTATTAACAGGGATCCCATACAGTCCTGGAGGGATGATCAATATGATTGTATTATTAATAGTTATTTATTAACAGGGATCCCATACAGTCCTTGAGGGGTGATCAATATGATCATTTTATTAATAATCATTAAGAGTAGTGATCAATATAATGATTTGATTTTATGTATGAACAGGAAGGGAACTCTATTCTTGACTTCCTGAGCACTGCAGCACTGTGCTTGTGCAATACTCTTTCTAGGACAGCATTCTTCCCAGTAGACATTTTCAGGATGACATTGGTTGGCCATGCACCCCTGGTGCCCAGTCTGTGGCCCTTCAGCACGTAATGTGTGGCCCTTGAACATAGCAATCTGTGTTTTGGTGTTCAAGCCAATAAAGGAGAATACTCCAGGTCACCATACACGTTAACCTGGCTAGATTGTTTTAGTTCCGCTTTTGTACTGAATGGGAAAAATCTAACAGATTCTCTAAACAGGGTGGATGGAGGAATCTCCCGATGTGGATATTGTATTCTGACAGTTGCCCCATCAGTTGTCAAATCCTTGAACATAGCTTGCGTCTGATTGGGTGTGGAGCCAACAATTTTCCACACTGCTCCTTCAATTTTTCAATTAAAGATGCTGGGCGGGAGCTGGCAGACAGGGCCAATTTCATCAAGAACCATCTGAGATTCGCTCAGAGTATAACCAGCTTTACAATCTTTGTACAATCAACTTGACATTTACCCAAACTGTGTAATATGAGGACCTACCTGATCTATCCAATCATTCTGCACCCAGTCAGGCAGACCCTTTCTACATAGTTATGGGTAGATCTAAAGGAGACAGTCTGATTGTACAGTGATGTGTGTGGTGACATTTGGACTGGCTTCTAGTAGGTAGATGGTTTGTTTTATTTGTTTCTCTCTTCTTCCTGTGCTGTCCATCACTTTTCATTTGTTTTCCTTTGATCTTTTATATTACTGAGAGAAGTATCGAAAGTGGCACAAGTCATTTAAGTGGGCTGATAGGAGCACACATGTGGAAGTATTGATTTATAAAGGGGCTGCAATAGTATTGATATTTAGCAGTCTTCTGCAAAGATTCTGCACTTTGACTGTCTCCTTAGGCATGTCTGCAGTCTCGGACCATCTCTTGTAGCAAAACCATAATTGCTGACCATCTCCTGACCCATGTCTGCAGTCTCTAACCATTTCCTGTCTCGCGCCTGCAGTCCTCTGGCCGCCTCCTGTCCCGCGCCTGCGGTCCTCTGGCCGCCTCCTGTCCCGCGCCTGCGGTCCTCTGGCCGCCTCCTGTCCCCCGCCTGCGGTCCTCTGGCCGCCTCCTGTCCCCCGCCTGCGGTCCTCTGCAGATGCTTCAGCATTGTGCAGAAGTGCATTCTTGTAGTATTTGGGATGTGCAGCTTTCCCAGGTTCCAGCGGTAAGGTAAGGCCCTAGGTGAGCATGCTGGAAGGTGTGAGGGATGTAGTCTTCTGATGTTTTACATTAGTGCTTTCATTTAGTATTTTGAAATAGAGACTGTAAGGTAGGCGGACCTTGAATTACATGCTGGATCCACTTTAACCCCTTCCCAAGACCAAAGACTTGGCCCTCCGATGGTAAAATTTGCCAACAGCAAGGAGGGTGTGTTTGTTTGTTTCACATGTCACAGACACTAGTAACTTCTCCTTGGATATGACTTGACCCTTGAACAAGTATCGCTGTCAAATCACGGGTAGGATTGAGCTGTATATAGGACCATTCACGCCAGTCAGATCCGTTGCGGTGCTTTTAATGCGCAGACTGCTTTGTGTTGCATTGAGGCAGCTCATTTGTTTGAAAGGGATGTCTAATACATCACAACATCTTGTGTTGCATTGTTGCTTACGCAGCACACTGTAGTGCACTACTTTATGCTGCAGTGAGCTGTGACACGGGTGTGTTGCAGTACCATTCACAGTAACCGTTCTGTTATGGTTACTTATACTGTAATTGATTTTCTCGCAGTAGACATTCAGCAAGGGTGCTGATTGAGGTACCTGACATACAAAGTGGGAGAACCTACAGATGTGCGTGTAAAATGATAGGACAAGAAGTCACAGTCACATAAAATGATATTAGATAAGCACTACAGTGCTGGACTTTGAACCATTACATATTTAGTTTGCCTGATCACTCCCTCTTCTATCACAGCCAAAGTGCAGGAATTGCTTAATGATTCAGAGCAGAAGTGTTGTTTTCACTGACTTTTTTCTTCTTCTTCCAGATGACCTCCCCATTAGTTCTGGGCAAGTTTACTTCATTGCTGCAGAGGGGATTTGCATGGCACCCTGTGACTTTTATTTTCCTCTTGATGTAGTCGTGCATTTCCAAACACATGTTATCTTTAAAAGAGAAGTAAAGCCAGACCTTTTTTTGGCTTTACTTTTATTTTGGGTTATAGGAATACATTTGCTAATACAATCCTATGACCCAAAGTAAGCTTATAGTGCAGGGGTGGGCAAACTCTGGGTCTCCAGCTGTGGAGAAACTACAGGTTACATCATGCATCTGTCTCTTGGAGTCATGCCTTTTGAGAATCTTGCAGTCCCTCATGGAATTTGTTGTTCCACAACAGCTGGAGGGGTGGAGTTTGCCAACCCCTGTTATAGCGGGCTACTGCCCACTATATGCGGACACTGCAGAGCCATGCTTTAGCTAGGACGATATTGTCGGGATCCACTTGGCTGCCTGATTGACAGCTGGCCCACCCGTTCCTCTGTCTGTCCCTACATTGAGCACCGGAGGAACAGAGACGAGAGGGGGGAATCCCTGTGGGGAGCGGTGACTGACAGTATCTGCTCTTTGCAGGGAGAAGAATGTGAGCTGTGTTATCAGTAGTTTGTGATCGCTCAGCTCTCGATATAAGCCAGTGTGTGACAGCTACAGTGTCGCACGCCAGCTCTAAATATAGGGATGAGTATAATTTCCTCTCCCAATACTTCTCCTTCATTGCTCAGAGAGAAAAAAACCCTGCCCTGCACTGCATAGGTTAAACTCTTCTTCAGGTCTAGGGTACCTGAGTAAGCGATTGTTACCTATCCGATCCCTGCTCCCGCAGGGTTTAAGACAGGCCCGTGCAGCTTCTTCAACCAACGCTACACTCTGGCGGTTGGAGGCCCACGGACATCATCCTGTACAATGCAGGGCCCATAGCACTGGATTATATGGGAGGACACCAAGGGACAGTCCAGAAGCCAGAGCATATGGAAAAAGAGGTGGGCACTGACTGCTGAAGGAGCAAGGATCAGGTAAGTAAGATTGCTTTACACAGGTCCCCTAGACTTAAACATGCCATTAAAGGAGAACTATGAGGTGAGTGCTTTTCACTCACCTCATAGTTCTAGCCGACCTGTGACAATGAGACTGTCACAGGTCGGCTCAGTAGATCGGGAGGTGAGCGAACACAATCCGGCGTTCGCTCACCTCTCGATCCTGTCACGGCTCTCTGCCGTGACAGGGGAGGGGCTGGATTCACCCCTCCCCACTCCGATACGCCAGTGCTGACTGGCGGAACGGACGGGGGAAGGGGCGGGTACAGCTGGCTCTGCCTCTAGATAGGCAGAGCCAGCTGTCAGTCACGCAGCTGGGCGGATCCCGGCACAATTGTCGGGATCCGCTTCCGCTGTGGCGTCTTAGTATACCGCGAGCTGTAGCCTAGGGTGACGGGAGGACGCTAGTTTGTGTCCTCCCGTTACCCTAAGGAGAACTATGGGGAAAAGCCTTAACCCCATAGTTCTCCTTTAACACAGGGGTGGGCAACTAACTACGAGTCCCTTGAGGGATTGCAAGACTGACAGCCACAGGCATGACTCCCAGAGGCATGTTGGGATTTTTAGTTAAAGCACAGCTGGAGGACTGGAGTTGCCCACCCCTGCGTTAACCCTTCCAGTGCAAGGGGAGTTCCCCCACCTGCTGGCTCTTGAATTGGACAGACTGGCTTGTGAACTCCATATGAATTTGTATACCATGTATGTCTGATGTTGAGCTTGTGTACTCTTGGAACTGAGCTGCATGTGCATGGTAAAAGAAGCCGAGCAAAGCATAGACCTCATCCTCAGAAACAAGGGGTCATCTTCTCTAAGTTCTGTGTTGAGATGAAGAGTAGGACGAGTGGCAGCGTTTGGGCAATCGGTGCAGGAATGCACATTATGTTTTCCTAAATTCCCTATAAATACATGACTGTTTTCCGGTATTCAGTCCCTTCCTGATCCATGCTCAAACAGTGACACAATAGGTAACAAATGTATACAATATTTATTATATGGAGACTTATTACAATTTAGCAGTCACTTTGCCCTCTCACGTTGCATAGAAGCACCACAGAAGGACCATTGCTTTTAAAAATATATTTAGTCATGTTCTATATCTAAAAATAAATATTGTAATGTTTTTCCTTCTCACAGATGGAATCAGAAGTTGTTTATGATCTTTTCCTGTCTGTGTAAACATGCAGAGTTCTTAAACCTCTCATAACTGATCAAAGTCATTAAATTGAGTGATTTATTCCTTTCATACTAAACTGCTTCTCACTTTCTCATGTTGGTGTTTAAAGGGTGGAACCCCAGGACATTGCATTCAGTGACAGGGAAATTAATGATGATTGGCTCATTCATTGACAATCAATGCTTTCTTCCAGCTTTTCAGAGAAGTGCTGGCCGCTCACAGATTCTTCAATCTACTGTTGACTAGCCCTAGTATGTGATGGTGCTTTTGTCACTGCGCTTGAGACGTTGTTGACTTCAATGGAGCAGAGTCTAATGTAGCAGGTTTTGCGCACTCTAGATCTCAAATGTTGGTAAGCTGCAATAGGTCCCGGGGAACCACAACAGACAAATAGCAGTTCCAGTGATTGGGGAAACTCAAAGTAGAGAACTGTGTGTAATTCTCACCATAAGGGGAGGGCATGCATCACTAAGCTTAGAACCCAGTGTGCTGACCAAAGAGAAATAATGTGACTTTCACAACAGAGAAAGCTGGTCACTCTAATAAATTGCTACCAACCTCAATGTATTATCAAATCAAAATTAAAGAAGTTCTAAATAGCATATACTATCCTGTTATAACATCAACATTGTGATAGGAATACATATTACAGTCGTTTTTGATAATGCAATCAAAGCTTACTTTAAAAAATCCCTTTTATGTAGTGAGTGCTGCCTTCTGTCTGCCATCACTTTCATCATTCCTGCATTCCCAGTGTGCTTTGCATCTCCTTTTCCTTGTTGATTGATGTGATACAATCTCAATTCCGCAAGACTACATATCCCATCAAAATTTGCTTCCAGCAAGCACTGATGATGTTACATTATTCAGAAATTGAGCTGTTGTTCACAAGGAAGTGCATATTTACAGGGCTGACTGAAATTGTGAATCTAGGCGCATCTTCAATAAGTAAGTTTACAAACTAGATGGATATGGTTATTAGGAGTCGGATAGAACTTATGGAGATTCAGTATAGAAATACAGATTTATTTCTATATTTGACCATAGAAACCCTTTAAGGTATACGAATATTAATATATTTCTAAATAAAAACCAATACTATCTTGTCTTGATTTGTATTGTGATTGTAATGTCTTCCTTATATTGTAAAGCGCTGTGCCAACTGTTGGCGCTATATAAATCCTGTATAATAATAATAATAACGCGGGGGGGCGGGTACAGCTGGCTCTGCCTCTAGATAGGCAGAGCCAGCTGTCACTCAGCAGCTGGGTGGATCTCGATAGTAATGTCGGGATCCGTCCCGGCTGCAGCGGTTTGAGTATACCGCGAGCTGTGGCTCGCGATATACTGAGCTTTGGGTCACGGGAGGACGCTAGTTTATGTCCTCCCGTGAAAAACACCCCATAGTTCTCCTTTAAGGTCTGGGCGTTTTTTTACCTTAATGCATTTTCTGCATTAGGGTAAAAACCGCCCAATACCTTTTTGTCTCTCCCCCGTCCCCGCTTGTCACCACCGCCAGTCCTGAAGCAATCCTCTGTTCCCCGTTTTTTCTTGGTTCTGGGGGAGGATACCGATGGCAGAGGAGCCATAGGCTCCTTCTGCCATCAATTAAACTGTTGGGCGGGGGAGGTGGGGCTTGGCCTGCTGCATGGCTGTGTGTGTCTATGGATGCACACAGCCACTGCGGGCACCAGCTCACACGGGTGCCTTCACAGGAGCTGCTTAGCTGGTGGAGGCACTCGTGCAGGGGGATGAGTACTGCGGGGACCCTCTACAAAATGAGGAATTAAACATTTTTTTCAAGAAAAAAAAAAAAGATTCATCAAAGGTGGACCTCCAAGGTGGAAACAAAAAAAACCCTTTTGATATCACTTTATCTATTTAAAAAAATGTATTTTATTTGTGTATCACCCGGCTGTAGATCCTCAAATCATCTCTGAATTGGTGCTGACACTGTACTTCCTTCTGGAGGGTGTCTACTTTTGTTCCACATGGTCCCTGTGTGTGTTGTAAAGTAGCCACCATTCCAAGCTCACACCTGTGATGGACTAAAATCTCACATTTACTTTACTAATTTGTATTGAGATTGTAGTCTATCACTGGAGTGAGCTAGGAGCGGTGGTTACTTGATAAAGCACACAGGGACCATGGGGAACAAAAGTAGCCACCCTGCAGAAGGAAGCACAGTGTCAGCACCAATTCAGAGATGATTTGAGGATCTACAGCTGAGTGATACACAAATAAGATAAATTTTTCCTAATAGTTAAAGGGCTATTAAAGCCTCAGCTTTTTTTGCATATATCTACTGCTAGCGAGTTTTAAACTTACCTGTGTGTTCCCCGCGCGCTCCCGTCCGAAAATGTGAAACTGCTCAGGCGGCTGCAATGCATCTTGGGGCGAGCGCATGCTCAGTTCACATTTTCGTCCGGGACGCGAGGAAAGACACAAGGTAAGTCTGAGGACACGTGCACCCGCATGCAGACACCGTGGGACAGGAAGTGCCAGCAAGCTCAGAGGAGTCAGCGCTGGATCGGAGACTCGCCACATCGCTGGATCGGAGACTCGCCGCAGCGCTGGAGAGAAGGCTGAAAACTACAGGAAAGAAGAAAATCGGATTAAAAGAAATCAATTAGGGTAAGTGCTTTACTTTACGTTGAGGTGAGGGGAACATAAAATTGCCTTTAATGTCACTTTTAGGTACTTGAATGTATTTTTCAGATTAAACTCTTGAGCTTAGTGTCAATTTAAACAACTCATACACTATCTGGTGATCTTGGAAGATGCC